CCCGAAGCTGCATCACCAAAGGTCACGCAGCCACATTGCTGACATTAGAGGCGTGGCTGAGCTTGTCGGGAGGAAAACCATATGGTTTCCCCCCGACGAGCTGGGCCACGCCCCCAACGTCAGCAACGTCGCACGTCACTTCTGGTGACGTGCTGGCGGTACGCGCGCGCTTTGAACGCATACAGAGCAGATGCCCGGATTTGTTGGAGCCTCCCCCGCCAGTGAGTTTGCCAGACTTGGCAACCCTATTTGGCCCACAAGCAACTGGTGCAAGGGAGGGGAGGCACGAGGTGGGGGGGGGCAAGTAGGCACATGTGGTGAGGTGTGTGTGGTTGAAGCTGTCAAGAAATAGAAAGTATGCTATTAAATGTCTTACCAAGTAATATTAAAAAAATACACAGTGAATTATTTAAGTACATGGTGACAGCGGCAATAGTAATATTTGCAGCAAAATGGAAGGCAGTGAAATGACCAGACTTGAAAGAATGGAGAAGTAAACTGAGTGAATCCGTGACAATGGCAAAATTAATATCTCTTATAAATAATAGACCAACTTCAGAATTTCAAGGAAAATGGGGATTTTTTTTCCAATTATATAGCTGGAAATTGAATAAAAATTAAATCAAAACAAAGAATGATGGAAAGAAAGGTAAGGTAATACAGGTTTTACAATGAAAATGTTATTAGATATGAAGATAGAAAAGACAGATATTTAAATAGAAGTGAAGTATTAAAAAGTAAATTTAAGCAAGTTCTACATAAATGTATGATTTTGAGTATAAATGAATATAATTTATATTTTATGTTTATATGTCTGTATTTAGACATATTTAGAAAAAAATAGAAAGGAAATGGCTAGGAGGCAGGGCTAAGAGGTGGAGGTAAAATAGTGGGGGGAATGGCAGTGAAGGCAGAGAAAGAGGAAGTCTGGTATTTTTTCCCCTTCTTCCTTGTCCAACCGCAGCTCAGCAAGGATTGCTGAAGCCCCCACATGGGGGAGGGATGGAACTGAGCGGCCGGTACTGCCCCTGCTGCGCCAATTGTCTTAACTTTTCCCCCAAACAGCGACCGTGAGGGGGGCTGTGGGCCAGAGTGAGCACATGGAGCGACAGTTTGCTGACAAAGGGACAAGACTGGCAGGGGAGGGAGGAGGAGAAGGAGGGTCAATGCATGGATTGGGAGGCAACTGGGCATGCCACTCTGAGGGCAAAGATGTCCCAGCCTTGGAAGCAAGTGGAGGAAAGAAGGGGGAAAGGGGCACTGCTGTCACCGCTGCACATCTGAACAGCCTCAAAGCCAGGAGGCAGAATGAGTGTTGGGGCAGGTTGGGGACAGTGACCTCCCTTCTCTTCCCTACCTGCTCTCATTCTGTGAGGGAAAAGGGGTTGCAGGAAGAAGAAGAAAAACACCCCCTGGAGGTTTCAGAAACAGCCTCTCCATCAGGCCTTCCCCTCAGCAGTGCTCAGGGGTCGTTTCGTAGAAAAAGAGCTAGGGGAACTCATTAGCATAACTCATTAGCATATGCCACACCCCCTGACATGACCGGAAGCGTGTCATGCGGCCACACACCCCTGACATCACCGGAAGTGTGTCATAAGGCCACACCCCCTGCCATCACTGGAAATGTGTCATAAGGCCACACCCACTACTCAGTCTTAGTCTTAAAGGTTAGTCTTAAAGGTGCTATTTGTTAGTCTTAAAGGTGCTATTTGAACTCTTGGACTATTTTGCAGCAACGGACTAACACAGCTACCTCGGGGAAGCTCCTGGATGGGGCTGGGAGTCCTTGCAGAGGCCACGTGGGGGAGGCCAACTTACCCTCCTGCTTCTTCCTCCTTCTGCAACAGAATGAGGCTGGAAGAAGGGGGCGGCCGGAAGAAGGGGCGGGGCTTCGTTGTGTGCCCCGCCCCCTGCACCTCACCCGGGGGAACTGCGATCCCCCGCAATCCCCCCAAAAATGACCTCTGGCAGTGCTGCTTCTGGGGGAAATGCAGGAGGGATGAGAACTGGGGGTGGGGGGATTTGGGAGAGCCAGGTTCAGACTCCCCTCCTCCTGAGCCAGGACTCTGTCGTCCAGGTCTCCTGGGGCTGGTCATTCATCCTGGCACAGGGTTGTTGTTGTTGGTAGGGATGGGGCGGTGAAGGAGGAGGTCTGGAGATCCTCAGGGGCAGGATGGGAAAGATAGGAAACAGAGAGCAAGAGGTGGATCATAGCCATGCTCAGTTTCTGAGGCTGGGCGTATGGGAGGGGTGCTGAAAAACTACCTTATTTACTTGCAAGGAAGATGACTCATCTCCTAAAAGTGCTATATATACAAAAAGTAACACATTTGTATGGAAATGTAAGATACCCCCCCTTTTATGGTATCCCTTGGGGGAAAAACCCTAGTCTTGTGTATAATTAAATACATTTAATTTGTGGGTTCCCCAGTAAATCAATTGCTTTCACTGCTCGGAATAAATTGGTTTTGTTTGTATTTTGAGTAAAAAAATCAATTTGCCTGTGGTCCTTTTTAAAGGTTATATCTCTTGTACTTTGCATTACATTTTATGGCACACATGGCCCAGCCCAACAAAGTGACATTTATGTGAGATCCGGCCCTCGTAACAAATGAGTTTGACACCTCTGGGTTAGAGCTTCAGAGTAGGGTCTGGGAGACCCAGGTTCAAATCCCCATCTTACTGTAGAAGCTCACTGGGTGATTTTGGATTGGTCACAGACTTTCAGCCTAATCTACCTGTCAGGGTTGTTGCGTGGATAAAGGGGAGGAGAATAATGTATACTGCTTTGGTCCCCAGTGTGGTGAAAGGCAAGGTATAAATGAAATAAACAGAATAAATATAGGTCAAGATGGGAGGCAAATAGAAGGTAGGTTGGTGAATAGTTGAGAAGGAGAGAATGGGGCCGGGAATTGTGGCACCACACAACTGGTGCACAGTTTTCCTAGGTAGAGGCTGCTGGGTGGGGGAGGCTAAGACAAGGGGCAGATAAAGAAGATTGGCTATTGGGTAGGAAGGAGATAGGGCTGTCAACTCTGGGTTTGAAAATTCCTGGAGATTTGGGAGTGAGGCCTGGGGAAGGTGTGGTTTGAGGAGGGGAAGGACCTCAGAAAAAGGGTATAATGCCATAGACTCCACTGTCCAAAGCATCAGTTTCCTCCAGGGGAACTCTTGTTGCCAACCTCCAGGTGTTTCTGGTATGGGGAATGCTCACATGGCTCTTTACTCATGGAAATGGTATTGGTCTTTCAACACATCCAGTCTTGGCAGTTCATACATATAGAGCAAGAGCTGTGGCATGGGGGGGGGGATTTTTTTAAAAAATCCCCAAGCCAGTTGTGTACTCTGAATCCCCTCTTCCAAGATAGTTTTTGTCCAATGGTGTATACAGGGTTTAGGCTATGGAAGTTTGTTCATTTTCATGTTCACAAATCACAGACAACAAATTGTGAATGTATACATTGTCTGAATATTCTGAAATTAAAGAGCTAATATTCTCAGAAAGGTTGTAAAAAACTGCTTATACACATAGTAAAAGAATTTTCACCATTGTGGAAAAGAGAAGTTGCAATACACATGGGTATTTTGGCCCATGTAAATTACTGATCATCTTCATTAATCCTTATGGAATGATTTTGAGAGAAAAGCTACATATAGTGTCAGAGATCCCTGATCAGGATATCTTGAAATTTCTTCTAAAGGTAAAAGGAGCCCTGATAGCCCCAATTAGAAGTAGGGCATTGTGTGTGGGGGGGAGGTTTGTTTTTTTTTTTTAACCCTCCAGTGCCAATTCCCTGATAAAATTGACACAAACACACCCACTGTAGATCCCACAGCAAAAATCATAATAACCACTCATATGGTGCATCTCTGTTCCCCCCAATGGGGCATATATGTAGGTCTGTGATTAGTCTTCTTGTGAGTTTTTTTAACAGGGAAAGTAGGAGGGGAAGGGGGGGAGTCTCCTCCCCTCCCATTTAGGGCAGCTCCAATCCAAATCCAGGCTCTCCATGGATGCTTTTGCTTTCAGAATAAAACACAAGAGATCATCCTGATCACGGATCTCCCTAGCGTGCATAGTTGGGCTGCAAGTTTATTGCTTTAATCCCTTGCATAATATTTTTAATTACAGTGGAAAAAGTGCGGCTCCTGATGTAGAGATATTAATAGTGGATCACATTCCTACAGGGATCTGATTCTGAGAAGAGGAGGCAGGAGACTTTGCTGGAACAGGAGAAGTTGTAAAGATTCAGAAGCTGTAAAGACTCAGACTTGCAGGAGCCAGAAAGTCTAGAAGAGACCAAGTGGGGGGGAAGATGGAGACTCCAGTGGCTGTGATCCCAGATTCCGTCTCTTGGCTGCGGGTCCAGGCTGCATCCTGCTGGAACAACATCACTTCAGTACTCATCTTTCTCCTGATGCTGGCCCTGCTGCTCGATTATGTCATGTACAGGAAAAAAAGCAGCCGATCTCCCCCGGGACCCACCCCTTTCCCTTTCTTCGGGAACTTGCTGTTAATCGATCTCAAAAACCCACATATTTCTTTTCGACGTGTAAGTACTTGGCCAAACCTGTTTTGTACGACTAGTCTTATTGAATGGTAGTGATTGACAGTTGGTCCTTGAGAAGACACTGGACCTTTGAAAAGTGCAGCAATGATGGTGGGAAATGACAGCTACATTTGTGTTTCCTATGAAACTCTTCAGTTTCCTGAACAAAGCCCAGTTTGCACTTTCATGTAGCAAATTTCTGGCTGTTTGATAAAATCATGTTTATTTGGGGATTATATGATGGTGTGGATAGCAAAGCATTCTCTTCTTTTTAAAATCATAGTTGGCAGAAAAGTATGGAACGGTCTATTCATTCCAAGTCGGGTGGCACAATTTTGTTGTACTGAGTGGATTCAAGGTGATAAAAGAGGCACTGGGACAGAAAGCAGAGGACTTTGCTAACCGGCCACACATTCCACTGTTCAGCCTAGTAGGCTTTGCAAAAAACTGTGAAGGTGAGTGCTGTTCATGCAGTGATGTTTTCATGCATTGCTATGGCTATGACGGGAGAAAAACGACAAAGACAACTTAATGTTTAAATGTAGCAGTATTGAGACCTACCTGTTCTCTCCCAACCCCATTCACTGCAGATAAAAGGAATTATATACTCCTTATGAAACATTTGTATTCATTACTGGGTATTATTAATGTTTACTGTAGTGACCTAATATGAATCTCTTATGTAAATGAGCATCCAATTTCAAATCCCCAGTCTCTCTTCTTAGCCTATTCTACCTCACAGGGTTGTTATGAGCAGTGTTCCTTCTAAGCTGAGTTAGTGTGAGCTAGCTCACAGTATTTTAGCCTCCGGCTCGCACCTTTTTGTCTTAGCTCAGGAAGGATGGCTCCAGAGCAAGCTAACTTATGCAGTAGCCAAATCACTCGCTCACAACTTGAATGCCAGTAGCTCACAAAGTAGAATTTTTGCTCCCAAGATTCCACATCTTGGAGGGAGCATTGGTTATGAGGATAACATAGAGGGGGGGGGGGGACCATAAATATCACCCTGATTTCCTTGGAGGAAGGGCAGGAAAATATACAGTAACAGAAACATAGAATTTCTTTCTGCCTATGACAGTAGCTGTGGAAGGGAGAGGTAGAAAGAACTAGGGCTTTGCCTAGCTGCTGGCCCACAGTCTTCTCCTACTTCCAACCCACCCAGAAGAGACAGAAAAGTACAGCTGTGTACTTTTCCCTCAAATTTCAGCCATAGAGAAACAAACAAAGTGGGGCAGGAGGACTTAGAGGCAGGTATAGGTGAGTATCACGCCTTAAGGGCAGGAGATAAATATTTTAAATTATTAAATGAACCTGTTCAAGTTTGAGAACAGCACCCATTGGGTCATCTGTGAGAAGTAAAATACATTCGAGAAACCAGGCAGGGGACTTTATTCAAGTCCTTCCTTCCTTTCTTGTCATAAATGCCAAATATCAGTATGTGCGGGATGATGATCTAGTAATTTTTTTGGGGGGGGGGATTGATATT